AAAAAAAAAAAAAAAAGATTGTCTCACCTATTCGTGTAAAAATTACAAGTAAAACTGTCGTCCAATAAGATCACCGATATCTCTCTCTCTCTCTTTCTCTCTTTCTTTCTTTCTTAATATATACATAAACATATACTTAAAAAATATTGCACTTCTTGATTTGTCCTTTATTCTTGATATTCGTCAGCTAAACCTCGCGAAACAAGCGGATCGTCCGGGTATAAATAAAAATATATAAGTAATAATATAATTATATTCGGGATTACACACGAACAAATTTGCGCTAATAGTTTATCTTGGAATAATTAAACAACTGATCCTGTGTATACAATGTTTACTACTATAATGCCAGTATCCATAAATGGAAAAATTAACACAATGATACGAGATAGAATAATTGTCTTCGTTTGTTATGCGCAAACTTTGTACCACGGGCAATTATTAAAATATAAAATTGAATGATATAAACAATATTGTAAACGTGTTATAAGAATATAATGCAACATTAACGACAATTAACCAATATTTTCATATAAGAATAAAAACTATAATATATTATTTAATTTAAGAATATATAGTATAGAGAAAAATTGTCTTCAATTTGTAATAATATATCGATTTAATAATACATATTTAATTACTTGGTAATTTTCAAGTAGAATGTTTATTCACTATTTTTTTTATTTAAAAAAAAAAAAATGATTCCAGGGTTACACGCATAACGAACGAAATTTTTCGTCGAACAAAAATATCTTCTGCACCATGTTTTTTTCATATTTTTGTTTTTTTCTTGAACTAACTGGCAATATAGTAATATTATAAATATAAACCGCGCGCGTTTAATGTATGCTATTATATATTATATGTATATAAATAATAATAATTAAGCTATTAAATTTCTCTATTAATATTTAAGTAAATATGAGAGAGGCTAAGCTACAAATCAAAAGAAGAAATTCGATTTTTAAGACGCACGCTATTACGCTAATTACCTGTCTTTTTAACAATTATTACTATAATAGTAATAAAAAAAAAAAAAATAGGAAATAAAAAATTTCCTATTAGCTATCAAAGAACGTTTTGAAAATAATTCATTTTAATTATTAATTAATTAGATAAAATCGAAAAATTGTCAAACATTTCTTATGCAAATAAACGTAGAACTAACATATTTATGATTTCAAATTGTTCGCCGTGTTTTTAATCAAAATAACGAAACGTAAAAGCAAAATTTCGCACGTTCGTTGATAAATATTACATACATATATATATATATATAAAAAAAGAAAACAAATATATATTCACACAATCCGGATTGAAGTTATTATCTGTCTTTACTATATCTGTCTGCTATAAAAAAAAGAAGAAAAAAGAAAAGAAAAGATTTTTCAAAACTATTTCTAATATTCTATTGTAATATATGAGTACGATTTATCTTTTTTGATATCTCGAAAGAAATTGCATCATCGTTCTGCTGTCTCTCTTTCTCCCTCTTTTCTCTTTATCCGCGACAATTATTAATATTTCTTGAAAATAAATAAAATTTTGTCGAGCACTAGTGTCACAAATTTCGTCCAGAATTGTTAAGAACAATTAATTCGATAAATAATTAAAAATATAATTAATTAAATACGAAATTCGTTGCAAATTGTTACGAAGAATTGACGATTAATGATTCGGTTATATATTTTCGTAACTTATCGGTAAAATAATAATACGATGTCGTTAATCTTTTTAAAAAATGATTGTAAACAAATGAATTGGGATTTTATAATAATTATTTTATCACGCTGTCTTACCTTGTCAAAAATGTCTGTAGACAAAAAAATTGATAGTAATAATTAATGTCATTCTGGTATCGCATATTTATAAAATTATTCTGCGATAATTTAAAAACCAAAACGATATTAATTATTATTAGACCTGTATGAAGTTTAAAAGGGCAGTCATTAGAATTGTTTGACAAGGAATTTAAATACATTAATCGAATCAGAATCGGCGACTCATCCTTGCTCAATTTTAAATAAATGTTGATAAACTAACGCGATTTTAATTCATGTTTTTTACCATAAAAAATGATCTCAGAGTACGGACCAAGAAAAATGGCGGCGTAAACCGTTAAGTACTGATTTACCATCGAGCTTAAGTAATATTATTACAAAGAAACCGATTTTGAATCGTTTGATTAATAAAGAAGACAGTGCGTAACTCATAAATAAATAAAAATAAAATAATAATATAATATTGTTATTATAAGAAAAGAAGAATATCTCTTTTCGACCAATTTTAATAAATGTCTTGCTGTTCTTCTAAATGTAAACACACCTACTGATTCTTTGCACGTCGTTAAGACTATATTTAATCCTTCAAAATGAAAATGAGAGATAAATAAAAAGTAATTTAGTTTTTATTTATCACATATTTCATTCTATCTAATCAGAGATTGGAGAAATATATATATTTATATATTTAAATAAGTAAGTCGACGGGCTTCTAATTTTTTAATTAAAATCTCAAATGTGTGTTGTTCCTTTATGAAATATACTTTCAAATTACACTGAGAAATCCCTGAATTTGTATTTTTACATAATACATTACAGTAACATCGGGGCTCTGGTAGCTCAAGCGCATTAAAGTAAATCCGTCTAAATGGTGGGATTACTGTAAATATATATAATGAGTCACTCATTTGTCAAATCGATTAATTACATTAAATAAAAAGTAGAAAAAATTAATAAAAATATATAAAAAATTTTATCATTAGGTGGTATTAAGCATCTATCAAATGCTCGTACACTGCAATTTTCAAAAATTCTAAAAGTAAAGTTAATCGCTTTGATTTGTGAACAGCTCATATATATATTACAAAATTAATGTTGTATTAATTTCATGTAATTGAATTATTTCATTTACAATTAGTATATAACAATCTATCCCAGCATATTATTACGTATATTATATTAATCCAAAATTAAGTTCATCTATTGGTAATCAAATAAGAGAGCTATTTGGTAACAAAACCAATATTGTACAATGTTTATTAATGAAATGTTAAGAAAAAGACAAAAGTGATTTGAATATATCAATAAAGTCATTTTAAATGGATTACTTTAATTATATTTGTTCACTTCATTGATATCCTATTCATCATTCTAAAAATCGATTGATAAAAATTTATCTTTATTGAAACTCCTCTACGTTTTCTAAAATACATACCATAATTAAATACAGAAATCTATATTCTGATTAACAAGAGATCACAGTGACAATCTTATAATGAGACCGTAGTAACATTAGAGTTTGTATCAGAATTGCATCCATTATCCGTCCCTTGAAATAAATATTTAAAATGCTGAACATACGGTTGACAATGTTCACCCCTTGTAAAAGCTGTTGTATTACGTAACCTTAAGTTACGCTGTTCAAAAAATTTAAAGACTGAATGAAAGAGGGTAGCATCGTTAGAAGCTTTTGCTGCTTCTAAAAATTTTCGAGCTGATACTTGATCTATCATTCCAACTGAACGGACATATCTAAAACGTATTCCAATAAATAAAAGAATTTTGCAATAATTTTATAGCTTTTTTACTTACCGAAGAGCAGCTAATATATAACCCTTAGACAAAAGAACTTCGATTATTTCTTCGTGTGCATTTCCTAATCGTTTTAACATATCCAATGCTAATTGATGAGCAGCTGGATATAAATTTTCTAAGGATAGCAATAAACAAGCTAAAGGTTTCGAGTCAGCTACAACATGATATTGCAATAATTGATGTAGTTGATAATATGCTTTTCTTTGCACCAATGTTGTAATAACTAACTCATGTAAATAATGTTCTACAGGAATTCCATGTTCTGTTAAAGACCTAATCATATTCCATAATGTATTAGATTTAACTTAACGAATATAACAATTGATACGATTGTTATTTATTATTATACGCATATACCTGATATATTCTAAGAGGACCCATACTATCATTTTTGGTTCTATTATACTTTCAGGAAATTTAGGTAAAATGATACTATACATATCACTTTGTTCAATTTTCAATTTGTACTTGTAATTCTCCGTAGTAGTGTTACCATTTTTGGTATTATTCTGAAGAGGAGTACCCATCTAAACAAATATTAATAAAACATTGCTTAATCAATGAAAATACGAATTTAATATTTTTACAAAATTATAATTCATTCACCTGATTCTGCATTTCCTTCTCAAGATAATTTCTATATACAGGATTAATTTTGTCGAAAATTGCTGGAATATCCATTAAACTTACTGGCAATTCTGTCATAAATTGCTGCAATACTTGTATCAAAATTTGTTTCGCATTAGATCTTTGCATAAGAAATTCAACTAATACAACTTTCTCTTTAATAAGTTTAATTAATACTTCCAATCTCAGTTCTATGTACCTGTAAACAATGAAAATACATAAATAAGCATATGAAATATTAATGTGAATCTAAAATATAAAAAAAGTCCCTTTAAATTTTATAAAGACATACCATAAGCACCCTAACTTAACGTCAATGACTATATTTGGTTGAAATACTACCCAATTAGGTGAATCTACATTATAATAAGAAAAACATATTTTTAATCTATAAAACAATAAAATTATGATAAAATTAAAAGGATACATAATTGACAAGGCTGTAAAAGCTCATCTGACAAAGTTGCACCTGGGACAACGAGATTGTAAGGTTTAATAGATTTTGCTGGTGCTACACTAGTATGATGTACCACAGTACCATCGCTTACACCAGGTAACATTATGTCAAAAATCATTGATGTCTATAAAAAATAATAGCGCTCAATCAAACAATATCAATATAATCATATATAAACACATATGAAGCTTGGGATACCCCATATACATATACCACATATATATATACCTTTGATGCCTGATGATGAACAATAATAAGATTGTCTACAACATTAATAGCAAATCTTCCACTGGCATCGAGCTTAAGAATATGACTTTTTTTAATTGTTAACATCCTACAAAATATAATTTACATAAACGATGTGATTTTTTGTTTTTAATTTAATTGCATAAAATCTATAATAAAAGCCTTACTTATGAATAGTATATACATAGACAAATGCAGTTCCAACAGAACGATTAGCTCCTGCCTGATGTCGCAAGACAATAATACAAGGTGTTCCATACAAAACAGCTAAAGCTACATCTCTTTCTGAGACAGCAAGCTTTCCTGGTTTGGTTGTACTAGGTTCCACTGAAATGGCTCCCATACAGATCTACAAGTTCTATGTTATGAAAAAACGACAAAAGATCTTATTGCTCAACTTACTTTCAAATTTAGTAAATTTTTGAATGTTGCCAGGTGTTACGTGTAATGCTTGCATTAAATTTCCTACCGAACCAGTGGACAACAAAACTAAATAACTTTTAGGACAAAATACAAACCAATTGATCACTAAATTAGAAGATTTCAATGTTTTAGTACAACGTTTCTCTGGATTAACCTATAAAAATAAAACACTTATATCATATCATGAAATAATAATAACCCTAACTGTTATCACTAATCTTACTTGAAACAATTCTACTCCTTGATCGGTAACAAATAATATTTCATTGCCATGTGTCCAAACAAAACCTAATATAGTTGCAGTCCTTCCCTTGCAAGACTGCGAATACTCAATACCATCAGGTTCATGCATAGGAGAAAAATTCATGAACTCTACAGATGTGTTAGTACGCTGTATAGCAAGTATATTCATATCTGGAGAAAATTTGATAGATATCACTGGACCTTTATCCTCCATCCTAAATATTATATTTTCATTAGGTCCCTTGACCAGAACGCCAGTGACACCCCCAGAACGAACAGCAAATACCTTAACAAAAACACTCAGAGAGGTTAGAAAATGAAACAATGGACAATAATAAAATTAATTTAGCGTTAATAACTCACTTGCTGTTTGGAATCATCGAAAAAAACATTGGTAAGACTGCTAACCGATTCAAACTTAATAGGATCAGAAGATAATTCTAAATAATAATCATCGTTCCCTTCCTTCTCGTTCTCCATTTCAACAAATCAGTAAATACTTAAAACTTTAGCTGTCATTCGCAAAAGTCTTGATGTTTCTCTGTCAGAAGTTTAAGAAAACACAGCAAAGCTAGTCTCGCGCACTCTATCTGTACAGATAAACCTAATTAAGTTATGATTCATTAATTAAACCGATAATTATACAGCAGATTTACATATACATATATATATATATATATATACATACACACGTAACAACAAATCATAACACACATATGAAACGATCGATAGACCGAATCGCGTATACACTTTCAAATACATTATTAAAATAGCGCGGAAATGATTCAACCAATCGTAATGAATATTGAAATAAAATCGACAGAAAAATGAAGAAAAGAAAAAAAATAAATATCTCTCTCTCTAACCGATATAATGAAAATAATTAATATGCATATATATATATATATATATATATATATAATGAAAATTACATTTGTTTACATACACACATAATATGTGTATATATAAAAAGAACGCGTAATCGATCGTAGCTTGACGAAGGATGAGTGAAAGAGAGAAAGGTAGATAGGCGTGGTAGTGGGGAGAAGGATGCAAGTGAGAGGAGAGAGAAAAAAGAAAGATGGTGGAAAAGGAATGGGGGGGCAAGGGTAAGAGAGAGAGAGAGAGAGAGAGAGAGAGAGAGAGAGAGA